CAGCCATGCTGGCTGGGGAATTCTGGGAGTTGAAGTCCACACATCTTCAAGCTGCCAAGGTTGAGAAACACTGTATTAAATCAAATCGAAGTTTATTGATTAGCCCTTAGGCCATATCAAAACACAGAATTTCAGACACAAAATATTGATAAAACCCTATATAAAAACAAATTAAGTAAAATGGAAATAAAGTACAGTGATTAAGTATACAAATAAGTGAGAATATGGATCATATTTCTGTGTCACCCCTACAATTTACCCCAATCAATTCTGGGAGTTGAAGTTCACACATCTTCAAGCTGTCAAGGTTGAGAAACGCTGTATTGGAATATCTCAAATAGTCTGCCTGGCTGGGAATCTAAATAGAAGTGTCACACAGAAACATTTTGTTTGAGATTCCAACTAGAAACAATGTTTTAATATGGATTCCTGCAATAAGCAGAAGTTGGATTTGATTGCATGTAAGGCTCCTTCTAATTTGATAATTGGTCATATTCAAAACTGGCATGCTTCTTCTGAGCATCAGTTGCTGAAAATAGAGAAGTAATATTAAACTTTATATCTTCTTCTTCTTGCCTTCCCTGGAGGCATCAGGTATGCTATTCTAGGAATCTGAATTTTAGAAGACACACATCTTTGGTCTGACCTTTGCTCTTATGTAAAGGCAGACACATGTTTCTTGAGACCTTCACACCTGAAATCCCAAATACTTATTTACACTTCTAACATCATGTTTTGCTCAGCATTCAGGCAACATCTTAGACATAGAATTCAAGTGATATAAATCACTTGAATGCTTAGAGGTATGTGGCACACCCAAGTTCAGATTTGAATCATTTATTTGATTTGGACAACGATTGAATTATCAAGTTCATCATCTACTTCACCAACTGATTCAAAGGACTGGGTCATTCAAACTGCCCTCTAATTGTAACTCTGGATTGATTCCACAGCCCTTTTGAAATCTGCAGAAATATATGGCAGGGATGGTCAACCCCCAAACACTCGTACTTGGCAAATTTCTCACTTACCTATAATGACTGTGTTGTCATCCACAATCAGCAGCTTGCTGTGAACATAGATCAGTTCAGTAATGAGTTTCCCTTCCAGCTCAGCATAGTTTCGAAGTCCACAGAATGAAATGTAATTAATCCATTGGTCTCCAACTGAAGGGCACCATTAAGGAATGGAGGATGAAAGGTAGAAGAGAAAAAAAAAAAACCAGAGAAGCTTTAGGACTTTAAAAAGTAGAAGAAATGAAAACTGGAGGCTTAAATTACAGAAATGTGGTTTGGGTTAAATGTTAGAATACATTTCTTGACAGTAATAGCCCTTTGAGCCAATTACCTAGGGATACCTGCCCACAATCTAGTACCCTTCCGATATATTATATTTTAATTCCTATAATTCCAAGCTAGCATGGTCTTTAGCAATGATTGCTAGAATTATGGGAGATAGCATCAGATTGGTGAAGGATCTCTTGGGGGTCTGAGATCTTCCTTGTGCTGAAGGTCTTCAAGCAAATGCTGGACTGCAACTCTGGATTTTCTGTATCAAATTATAATAATCCAGAGTTGACAGGGCTGGATGCTACAGGGCTAGACTAGATAGCATCCAACCCCGGCAACCCTATATTATTATAATTCCATAACTGCAGTCCCAATCGGGGCAATAATCACAAATGCATCTGAAAAAAGAAAAACATGGGTGCAAATATCCATGTTTGAATAGTGGATTTATGCGTCTTAAAAATTAAAAATATGTATTTTTATTCCATCATTCAGCTGACATGTACCACAGAAAAAAGGAAACAATAAACATTCTTAATTTGACGACCTAGCAGTTTTGGCATAAATCCAGATTTCAACTCCCCAGATCCTTATGACTGAGCCTAAGGAGTCAGCTTGCTGGAATGACATCAAGTAAAATGGGGAGAAGTAGCTCATTTAGAGCAACATCCAAAAACAGCAGCTTTCTTTGTTTCTTTTTCTCCCCAGACACCCAGATGTTGTTTTCCTAGTTTGTTTTCTTTATTTTGAAGATCTCTCTGACATAATTGAGGCCTCCTACATTAGTAGTTATATAATCCTGCAATTATGCCAGCTAATATGTGCTTTATGGCCTATCAATCAAGGTTTAGTGCCATCAAGACCCAACGGTGAGCGGACACACAGAGAGCAAAGCAAAGGACTTACTTTCAGCTTTCAGCTGTCCCAAGATTGAATTCTCTCCTCTGCACATAGTCCTGGAAGAATTAAGGCCACCATTAAATTCACAAAACAACAGCGTGCAAATGAGTTTACAAGAATGCGTTTAACTGAAATCATCAGATACGTGCCTCTATAAAAAAAGGAATTGGTGGAGAGAACACAGCAGATCTGCAGTTCCAAAGGTTGTACTGAGAAGAGGGCTCATGAGGGGTAGAAACACGTTGAACAACTTTAAGACGCACAAGGCCAAGAAAATGTTTTTGCTTTCTTTAAGTCTTAAAGGGATTCGGCAACTTGAGGCCTCAGGCTCTTATCTGAAACCTGGAACTTGAAGCCCTGAGGCTATGGCCTATCCTCTAGGAATTCAGATTACGGAGCTCCTTTTGGAATCAGGAAAAATAAAGCATGCAAAACGAAACAGTGGTGTGCAGTACCTAGTTGACCTCAGCTGATCTTGAGTAGCTAAGCAATGGGAGATCATCATGAAATAAAGGAGCTGTACGCTGAACTGGGAAGTTAACAAGATATCCTGGAAGAAAGCAAGGCCAGACATTTCTGTTGCCAAGAAAACTATATGGACATGTCTATGAAGTTAGCAGGACATTACTTTTTATGCAACATCAGCTCCTGTGACTGGTCAGTCATACAGAACTTAAGACCTGTCCACACCATCTTAATAGAAGAAAGATTTCTGCCCCTGTCTCACAAATGTTGGACAAATCAGTATGGGAGAAAACTAAGGATGAGCACAGGCAATGTGTGGACTTCCAGATATAGATTTGGAAACTCACACCAGCATGGTCAACAATAATACATGATGGGGACAGCAGCCTGGAAAACAAACTGTAGGACACCTGGACAAATAGGTGCCTAGACTGGGAAAATATGGCAGCTTCTTATGCTTCTAAATAAAAAGACTGTATATATGCCACCCTAAACATGAATTACAGTACAGATGTTCCAGGCCTGGCATGTTTCCACCTTAGGGGTCCTTCAAGCTGGATACCTCTTTGAACACAATTGTAAAGGAGCATTACAAAGCAAGTCCCATGCCAGATTTGGTCCACTGAACGATACCAATATGTAAGACATTCTTCTGAAAATCAGCATTAAAATGTATGTATAGGTGTACACATACCCATGTGTGTCATTTAATTTGGTTTGAAGTAGGTGTCTGCAAAAGAGAGAGGTAGACAGGCCCACCCACACCCACACTTACATAGTGGAAAAATGAAAGTAGAAAGCTTAATTAAAAAGCCAGAAAATGCATTCTAGAAGATTTTCTTGGCAAGGCACAACCCCAAACTCAATGCTCCCTCTGCTGACTCTCTAGCAGAAATACACAGTAAAATGAGCTTTGTTCAGCTCTACTGAAAATGTCCAATACTGACCCTGTTGGGTTGCTAGCACGAGGAAAGGGATTTGAAAACGCTTAAGGTGATTTAAAAACTTATTATAAAATACTGTTTCATGGGCTTACACTATGGATCTTTGAAACTGCATTTCTACTGCAAGGCTTGAACTGGTGAATTCCCTGAGAGACTTATGGTACTTCCAATGGTACTGATGTCCATCACAGATGCAGAGTTCCCTGCCAGTATGATGCACCACATGCCATGTCAGGAGCTAACCCAGTTCTTCCCTGACCCTCTGCCTCAGCTCTCCATCACCTTTCCTCCCCAAATGGACGGGATGGGACATAGCTGGATTCCTGAGTAGTTTCCTATGGAAGCATCGCCCAGACCAACACTTATTTAGCTTCAACTATAGGTAGTCCCCGGGTTAAGAACACCCAAGTTACAGATGACCCATAGTTAAGAACAGAGCCTATTATGGCAAAATTCGAGCTAAATACACAATGATTCGAGTTAAATACACAATGGTTCGAGTTAATTACACAATACTACTATACAGTATTATACAATAATACTGTTCTAGCTTACATACAAATTCAACTAAAGGATAGACCTTGGGAACAGAACTCGTTCTTAAACTGGGGACTACCTGTATATTGCTGCCTTATGCAAGTCTACTCCTTCTGCCCTGTAGCTTCTTATGCCTGGAATGACCCCAAATATATTGCAATGGGGCCCCTTTCCTGTTTCTTTGAATTCCTGCTCAAAATGCCAATTTTTCCGTTAAGTGAACACCAATAGCAGCCTTGTTCTGACATGCAGAGAATAACACTTGTGTACGACCTTGACTACAGAAACATACTGCATGAGCGTTTTGTTGTATGTATGTTCTCCACTTCTGCTGAATATGTAATGGTTGGGCTAGAGGGTCCAATTTTGATCTGCCGCCATACATTCTTAGCCTGAGTACTGCATTAAAATATTTTTACAGCTTCACCCAATATACTGAACCATCAGTGAACCTAACATAATATGCTAACCCCCCAAAATCTCTCTTCAAGGTAAAGGTTACCCAAACTAAACATACTACATAAATGTATCTTTTAGGTCCTTAACTAATAAGTGTTTTATGTGAACATAACCAGAATCTGAGAATTGAATATATGTTAACTTTGATATCTCCTTTGACTTCCCTTCTTCCTTTCTTTTCCTTCCATGCTGCCAGTGGAAACTCTATGGGACAGGGCCATACTACGAATCTAGAAAGTGCCCATGTTCACTGTATATGAACCCTAAATAAATAAACCATGTAACAAAAGCTGTAATTTAACATTTAAAGACATCTTTCCCTTTAACCCTGGTACGTGAGAAAAACAGAACTGCCCATGGCCCTACCAGCCAGCAAAATGGGAAAAAGATGATAAAAATGAAATAAACTTTACAGATCTAATCACAGATTCTTGTCTAAAATGTTCACCACTATCTTAGCGAAATGGATCACTCCAGCAAATGGCTCCTGCTTGCTTTTCATGGATGTTCCTTGAGTCTGATAAATTGCAGCCTTAAATTAGAGTCTCTAGAACAATTTTTACCTTAGCTCCTTTTCCTACCCCAGTACCAGCTTTATTTTCCCAGAAGATCTGTCTCCCATTTCAAACAACAAAGTAACTTTCTTAGCAGAAAGAGATGAGGTGGGGAACATCTCTCTCTGATTATGCAATCCCAGCTATGCTTCAGTCTACAGAGTCTATATTGGGTGTGTCCGAGAGCCAGCATCTTGGTGTCTACCCAGAGGGTCTGGCATGTAGTGAATGTGTGGAGACAGCTTGCCCATTCACTATAACAAAATTCCAAGAACTGCACAAGAATATATATGTGAACAAGAAAATGCAACGGGTGTGCTTCTTCAACAACTGCTCCCTACTCTGGTTCCAAATTGGCCTTCCCCATCTTTGTTTGGGCCAAAGCTTCAGAGGCTGAGCTGACTTCCAGGGCATTGTCCTGAAAAACACATGCCTTTCAGTCTATTTTTTCACCTCAGTGATCTGGAGATAATGAAACTTCTGGTGCATTATGGAGGAAGAAAAAGAAATAGTTGGTGCCCAGCGCTGCTGGTGCCATAGTGATAAGTTCTCCAGCCCCTCCTGCTCATCATGAAACCTAGGCAGCAATGAAGATCTTCATCTTAGAATGTTGTTTCAGCAAATGGCCCTATGCCAAGGGCTCCTTTAACTTTGGAGCCATCCCTGGTCTCAGTCTGTTTTTTGAACCTGGGCCAAGCATCCATCAGAGAGCTGCCTAGATTCTCGACTATAACGCTTCACCACATTGCTGAAAATAAAAGGATCCAGGCTGGACCACTAAATTTACCTGTAGTTAAAATGCATAATGGCCTGGATGGCATTGCCTCCTCCTGTTGAAATATCACCTTCAAAGCCAGGCAGCAGGGGGATAACTACATAGACTCGGTACCGTTTGTTTTCCCTAAAAGAAAAGACAAAACAAGTAATTTAGCTTTGTGACAATACTGTATATTTTAAAAACGTGTGTGTATGTATTGGGGGGGGGGAAGAACTAATAAATTATTTTAATATATAAATACAGAGAATTGTTTAGGTAGGGTTTGTTTTTGCATCATTTACTTAAAGACTGATGATCTGTGAAACTTGTTCACCAAGTATTACAGAAATGATAGAAGGGTAACATAAAAATAGCAAATTCTCTCACAGATTACTTTCACCTTACAGTTCAGCTATGGTTCTCACAGCCCCTCCATTTCACACACACCACACCACACCACTAGACAAAGAAGCAAGAACATATATTGAACAAAAATTGGTGTAGCTTTGATAAACCATTACATTAGGCAACATTTATATTTTGCAGATTTCAACTGATTTAATCATGTTCTGCTGTCAGCGGAGCTACAATCTTCCCCAATCTGGTACTCTTCAGAAACATTAGACTATAACATTAGTTATTATATTTTTAAACTGTTCAACAATCTATCTGGGGTGGAGATATCCATTAAAAATACAATACAAAATACGTTGAAAAGCAATCAAACTAATAAAAACAGCTATGTATAAATAAAAGTAGCAGCAACTTAAATAATGACAACAAAAACAAGTAAATCAAAATTAAATGAGCAGCCAAAAATATATAGTTACTGTAAAAGGGTTTCCTAAAAATGCTGAGAACATTCTGAAAATGCTTAGAAACATGTAGGTGCCAGGCGAGTCTCTCTGGGGAAGGCACTGAATTCTTCAGCCAGCACGGTCACAGTGCAGGTTCTGCTGGTTGAGATAATAGAAGCCATAGCCCTGTGCTTCAAGAGGACATCATGCTGGGGAAATTAGCTGGACTAGAGAAAGCTCCAAATCCACCCAAAATATAATTCCCAGTATTCTTTGGAGGAACTGAAGTTCTGTTAGGCTAAAAACATTTTGTAATACAGGTCATGCCAAGTGGAAATCCATACCTTTCATAAACATTTTT